CATCTCAACTAATTTCATTCACTGTTTAGCTAGTAATTGGGTTTGCCTTATCTAATTGCTATACTAGTCACAATTTCTAATAGTGCTTTGGCTTCAGTAATTTAGCTTCCATAAGAAAGACTTCTTCAAGGTTTCCAAGAACTATTGCAGAGTTGTGTGGATAGTTGAAGATATTCCTTTCCTAGTTGGTTTTAGAAAGAGTTCTGGTTGAAAACCACTGATTCACATTCTCAGAATCATCATGGCATATACCTCTTCACCTATACTTGTAGAGAGAGACATTATGGTAAACTGAATTACCTTTTATTTACCTGCAAAGGGTTAATTAACTTTGCTCACATATTTTTGTTTCATATTTTGTTGAAATTACAAAATAGACTTTCAGTGGTAATTTTTCTTTTTGCAGATGGTAACTGAAGATATAACTAAGGGAAAATATTATGAGACATTTTAATAGTTGAAACAAGCCAAATTTGATTATATATTAATCAGGATATAGACACCTGGGTGAGCATGGCTTTAGTAACTCATCACACTTTGTGATTTACCCCTTTAATGAAGGCATTTCCATTTAATACTAAAGCTTATTTTCCTATCTTTTAAAATTTTATTTTTCAGTCATGAGATAAAAAGATAAGAAATGAGAGAGAGTGGAGAAGATTGAAAAAAAAAAAAAGAAAGAAAGAAAACGACTCACTGAGTAACTTCTAAAAAGCAGGCCTTGTGTAATTTCCTTACAGGTCATCTCATTTAATAGTCAAAACACAGTGAGGTTGATATTATTATTATTATTATTATTATTATTATTATTACCTCTTTACATGTAAACATGAACATTTTCTTTTTCCTCAGGGTCACTTAATCACTAATTGGAAGAGCCAAGAATTCAGACTCATTTCTGGTTCTGTTTGACTCCATATTCTATGTATCCTTTGCTACATTTCTTCAAACACATACTGGATATTTGGGGACACAGACGTGCATGCATGCACATCCTTCCCTCCACTGGTTTCTTCAGTCTTTATTCCAAAAAAATTAAGAATTAATTAGGATTAACTGTTGTGAAGAAGACAAATACAGTACTCTCACAGAATTCTAGCAGAAAATATGTGCTATGTGCCTAGACAGCAGGGGAAGCTAATCCAGTTTAAGGTCAGCCTTCATGAAAATTATTTTGCTTATTTGATAGTATCACATAGCACTTTGCAAAAAAAAAAAGTTAAAAGATAGAAAAATAGTTGAATTATAGTGGTATTTTAAAGATCTTATTTAATGTAGACTATATATTTGTTATGGTATTTTTGTTTAGATTAAATATATATATAAAATGGGAATTATACTCCTAATTTTGAATATAACCTAGGCAGAACTAAAGTTGTATACCTTAATGGAGATTGAGAATATTTCATGACTTTTCACTTTCTTTAGGTTTCAGAATTTAATTTTTAATTCTATGCTAATGATTGAGAGTTAACTGTCCCCAGAGCCACTAGGAAATTTCAGTTCTTATTTATCTACTATATTTATATCTACTATAGTAATAAGATACAGAACTATTGGATCTCAAATGATCTACTATGCATTTTAAAAGATAGGCTGAATAATCAGTGAAAAGGGTTTTTTCAGTGCTGAGAGAGTTAACTGTCCCCAGAGCCACTAGGAAATTTCAGTTCTTATTTATCTACTATATTTATGTCTACTATAGTAATAAGATACAGAACTGTTGGATCTCAAATGATCTACTATGCATTTTAAAAGATAGGCTGAATAATCAGTGAAAAGGCTGTTTTCAGTGCTGATCTGATTTTAGAAAGTAGACCTAACTGCAGTAATCTATGGAGTGGATGGAAGATGATAGAGGATTATTAATCAGAGGGAGGAAGAATGCTGACTTGTAGGAAAAAGATGCAGATGAAAGCACCTTCTTGTACCTCCTGGAAATTGCTTGATCCTGGCTCTCTTCCCAGCTCTGACATACATATAATTTTCATTTGAAAAATAACAACTTATTAAAATGAGAAAAACATATTAGTTACTACATGAAAGGCAGTCGATACAAATTTTCTTAAATATAGATTTCAAACAAATGTGAATTTTTCTATTATTGGTTCTGTTAGATAAATATTCTTAGTTTTATGTATTTTAATAGAAACCCAGAAATAATTGCCTGAAAAATATAGTTCTTGTTTTAAAACATTCACACACACACACACAAATTTATGCATGGCAAATACACAAGTGATTACAAAAAACTTTTCAAAGGTATATTTTTATAAGAAGAGCAATGAGATTTGAATTTTAATGTTAAGAAAAATATGAGCTGGGCACAGTGGCATACACCTGTAATCCCAGCTACCAAGGAGGCTGAGGTGCAGGATTACAAGTTTGAGGCAAATTAGTGAGATCCTGTCTTAAAAAATACAAAAGGCTAGGGATGGAGCTCAGTGGTAGAGTGCCCCTGGGTTCAATATGCCTAGTACCACACACACACACACACATAAAAGCATGAAGTGAACATTATATTTTTAAATTTGATAAAGCACACATATATTAAGGATACCTCTCACTACATGACTGATTTATATGCTATTGACCATTTAGTCTGCAATAATTATCAAAGCTTGTCCTTAGCAAAGAAAACTACTGGAACTAAGATACTCATCATTTTGGTAGTTACACAGACACGATGAGTGGGTAAATGGACTGACCTCATCTTTCAGATATGCTTTCCTGTCCTTCCCAAAGGGACTTGACGAGGACTGGGTAGAAGACTCCCTGCACAAATACCCCTCAAACTTCCTCTTTGGCCCATATGTCCCTGATTTTCTAGCTCAGATATTCCTAGGCCTATTTGATAGCTCCACTTACTAAACCCCAAAGCACCTCAAATTCTGTAAATCTAAACTGAACTTTTAATTCCTTTCCCCATCAAAACCAATGCACTTGACCGTTGTCAAATGTTCCTTGTTTCAGATAATGGGCACCAAACATCCTCTAATGCAAGCCAGAAAACTATGAGTTACTTTTGATACTTTCTTATCTTCCATATCCATTAATTAATCCAAATTCTTACTATATTACTTCCTAAATATCTCTCAAATCTACTTTTTCCAACCCCATGGTCACCATCCTAATCCAAGCCATGATCACCTCCCAAGTGGATAACTGTAATGGCCTCCGGTCCAACTTCCTCACTTCTTTTCTGGCCACTTTGGTATGTTCTTCATGTAAAAGTCTTTGATCTTTTCCAAGTGAATGTGGTACTATCATTCCTGCTATAAAAATCCTTTAGTGGCATCTTATCATTCTTACTATAGCTTAACTTTCTTCTTGAATTTCCATATTGGCCATTCCAGCTTCTGAGGTTTTCCATGCCTTTCCTAGCACAGATGTTCTGCACTTACGCTGCCTGGAACACCCTCTCAACATTCCCTCCATCTCTTCCTTTTGTCCCAGTTTATATCTACTTTTCCTTCAAATTTCAGCTAGTTAAGCTTTGTGAAAATCTTCCCTGATTCCCTGGAATATATCAATACCACTTTATTAAATGTTCTGTTAACATCATGCATAATTCTTTTGTAAGTATTTCTCTCCATAATTAGACTTTATGTTTCATAGAAGGGCAAATTCTCTCTCTCTCTCACCGAAGTGCTGTGAATCTAACCTAAGGCCTTGTGATTGCAAGGCAAGGGCTTGATTACTGGGCTGCATATACATATACTTCAGCCCTAAAATTTGTATCTTTAAAATGTGCTTTTTGTTGTTGTTCATTACTGTATTCCAGTGCCTATAACAATGCTAGCCACATAGAAGTGCTCTGGAAATATCTGTTGAATGAATCTTACACAATTATTCTGAATCAGATTCTCTTAACTTTTGGTCCCATGAGTCACCTTACTGTGTATGACTTTGCTTGGCTTTTCTTGCTTGAGGTTGAAATTGTATGCTTGGTTTTGATCTCTAACTTGCTTATATCTTGTTAAACCTACAGTTTTTAGTTGGTTCTGGCCAACATCCTATAAGGTTCAGCTTGGCCCTGCATGTCACTGAAGGGTCACCAAATATCTGGAGTAAAGCCTAGACAATGTCCAATTCAACATATGCAGACTAATGTTTATACTCACACCAACACTTATTTGCTGAGAACTTTTATGATCAGAAACCCCACAGATTCAAAGATAATATATAAAACATTATAGCTACAGTTAAGAACTCTTTTTGTTCTTTGTGGTTTTGGTTCAAAATTCATCCTTTATAATAAAATGTTCAAAGATTTGACTAAGTAATTTCAAAGTTTTTTCTAATAAATTGTTGAATTACTGTAACCATGAAAATATGCACCTTTCCTCAAAGTTACTAAATAGAGTTTATGTCAACAATAGAGTCAATTTGAATTGATTTTTGGAAAAATATTTTCTGGCTTGGCCAAAAAAAAAATAAATAAAAAAACAGTCAATTTTTTTTTAAATCTCATGAACCACTTTTTTTGTGTGTATGGCAGTAAGGAATGACACAGATGTTCAGCAATGTGCTTGGAGTTTAGAAGAAGGGCATGTGCTTCTAGGACTTTGCTTTCTTTCTTTCTGATCATGCTTCTTTTTCATATCAATAATCCAGAATATAGAATATTGTCTTGATTCCATGTCCAATTCCTGTTTAGAATTCCATATATTCTTGGACAATGGTTCTGTCTTATTTTCTATTCCTGACTCCATATTTCAGTTCTCATGGTAAGATTTCTCTTCATGCTATTAAACCTTGGCAGCATGCCCTTAAATTTCTGTTACCTTTTTCTGTGATCTCTTTCTTCCTTTGAGCTCATACAGTGTCATCTATGGTGGCTTTTTTTTTTCCTGTGCCCTATAGACTACAGTATATTTCCACTCTTGTCTATTCCTCCAATATTCTTTTTGCACAACTGACCACACGTATGTTGAGTACCTGTGTCCTCTGGGTTTTGGTCAGTCCTGTTCTGCTTTGTTTGCCTATTGAATGAATACCTCATATGATCTGAAGCTCAGAGAATGGGCTATCATGCAGAATCCTGGTCCAGAAAAGTTACAGCCATTTGTTCCTGAAGATTTCTTTGGTGAGTTAGGAGAGCACCTACAATTTTTCAGGTCCTGTAATTATAAAGTTAAAAAAGCCATGGTCCTTCTCCATAAGGAATGTAGAACCTGCAAGAAAAATTCATTGACTACCCCACTCTAGTATATTTCAGGGATGATGACAGGAGATGCACAGGTCCTAGGGAAACAAAGAAAAGGGTATTTATATCACAGTAGGGAATATGTGAGGGTGAGAAAAGGCTTTAATGAGACCATTGAACTGTTTTGCAGTACAAGTAAGTACTATCTAATGGAAGAAATGGGAGAAAGGCATTTCTAGGTAGAAGAAAGTGTAGTTTCAATGTCACAGAGTTATGAAACACCTTGGTGGGTTCTTGGAACTACACTTAGTTCAAATTGGCCATAGCAAAAATTGCAAATAAAGAGGGATTGTGGTAGATGAGGCTGGGGAGTTATGGCAGGAGACAGATGTTGAAAGCCTCTGCATAGTAAATTGTTGTTTGACCAATTTTAGGACAGTTGATTTTTGTTATTTGCAATAGTTACAGAAAGTCTCCACAAACACTGAATTAGTGAATACTAAACCACTGCTTTAGATTCCTGTCAGCCAGTAGTCACATTTCAACATTGAAATAGCACATAACCCTGTATTATGTGTGTTTCTGTTTTAAAATATACTGTTGACTTATCAACATTGAACTCATGACCAACATCACTATAACTCACGCCTGAACAAAGCTTGTCTGATGCATACATTTTCTCCATTAAGGCACATCATGATGAGCCTTCTTTCACTTAGGAACACTAAGTAGCACTTGAGTGCTTGGAGGCCATTTTGAACACCAAAATACGCCTCCACCAAGGGACTAGTTACAAAAAAAGAAACTTGTTTACAGTATGAGTTGAAACATGAAGGCAGACCGTAGCATTGTTTGACGTCAGCTAGGGACATGTGTTAGGCAACTCAACACTTTTCAGCCACTTAGTATATGTCCACAAATGAGCACAAAAACAGCAATCATACCTAGTAGGCAAATTTGTAAATATGGGATCTATGAACAATGAGGTTGTATAATGTTATCAACATGGTGACTTGGGAACTATAAAATCTCAAGAGATAATACATAAATGCCTGTATCACTTCAGCTTCTGAGGGTGTTTCTGACCATATTTCATGTGACTAAAATACATGACCACAGAAAATGAAAAAGTGATGAAGTAAGTATGATACATAAGTCATCTCTGCCTATAATACAACTTGTCCAAGGATCTTTTTTTCTTGCTTTCTTTATAGGCAAAGGATAAAGGTAGATTATGGTTTTAATTTCAGATGTATCATAATAATAATTTGAGTCTCCTGGTCCAAAGAATAATTCTACTTCTTCAATAAATTCTATTTGATTTGTCCTATTGCTGATAAGTTTTTACTAATTTGAAGAACAAGGCTTCTTAATAACTGGAATCAAATCGATAGTTTTGAATTTATTTAAAAAATACATAGTCCCTTTTTATTTTCATTTTTATATCAATAGTTTCATTTGGTTATATTTTATAAGCAGACAATTAATATGGGTCCTTTTTCAATATGACTTTAGGGTTTGAACTATTTTTATTTTGTTTTTAAGATGAAGTCTTTGGAAGACAAAGTATACAAATCTTTGGGAAAAAAAGGGAAGAGATATATTTGGGGAATGGCCCTAAATAAGTGTGGGACTGGGTCTGTATAGGGCAAATGAATTCAGTTTTTTGATCCCAAATCTCATTCTTACCCCAACTATGTTTTCATGGATTGTAAGTGTTACTAAAGAAAAGTAGGGAGAAATGTTATCTGTAACCTGAAAATATCCCCCAAGTTTGAATAGTTAAAAAAAATGAAGGATTATAGATGATGTAAAAGAGCAAAACACATTTATGTAATATTTTATTATTTCCTTGATACATAAATGCACAGTATCTTTTTATGATTCTTGCAGTCAAATGCCTTAATGAAATAGGAACACCAAGAATTTAGGTGACCAAATTGTATCTTTTTTTTTTTTTTTTTTTTTGCTGAAGGAGGAATTTGGCACTTTATGTTGGTATTCTCTTTATGGGGGAAAAGGAATTTTGTAAATACTATGTTAGGGCAGCATAGCAAAAATGTCAGGTAATGCTGTTACAGGGGAAATTTAGATTTGTCTAGGAAGCTAATTATTTTGATCTATCATTTTGATGCATAGGAGGATTTTCTTCCTGTCTTGGCAATGACATTAAGAAATTCCATACATTTTTTGCTTTGGCTCTCAGAAGCTGACATAATGATAATGAATAATAATGTTAAAAAGTTTTCCAGCTGGGTGTAGTGACACAAACCTGTAGTCCCAGTTACTCCAGGGGCTAAGGTAGGAGGATTGCAAGTTCGAGGCCAGCCTCAGCAACTTAGAGAGACCCTGCCTCAAAATAAAAAATAAAAAAGGGCTAGGGATATGGCTCAATGATACGGTGTCCCTGGGTTCAGTCTCCAGTCCTATTTAAAAAAAGTTTTCTACTTTCATGCCTCAGTATCTAAAAATATACATTTATGAAACTTCTAAGAATAATGTCAACATGACATGACTTGTTTCTGGCTCAAGAAGTTTCAAACTTTGAGGAAGGCTTATTATATGGTCAGTATTGGTTGTATAGGATGTATAACGGAATAGACTAAAAACCCATTCCCAATAAAGAGCCTATCTGAGAAGCTATTCTGCAGTAGCTCGGGAGGTTGAGACAGGAGAATCATGAGTTCAAAGCCAGCCTCAGCAAACACGAGTTGCTAAGCAACTCAGTGAGACTGGATCTCTAAACAAAATACAAAATAGGGCTAGGGATGTGACTCAGTGGTTGAGTGCTTCTGAGTTCAATCCTTGGTATCTGCCTCCTCCTAAAAAAAAACCCTTTGTTTTCTCTTCACTCAAGTAAAAATTTTGATTCCATGTGGACATTTCCAAATATTACATATACAATATTTAATGTGCCTTAAAAACTCTCTGACCTCTTTTTCCTTCTCCCAGAAAATGAATTATTTATAATTCTTTTCATAAAGAGATAATCAGCTAAAGAGCTTTCTTAAAGGTGGCAAAACTGAAAAGCAAATTAGTTTTATGATTTCAAAGAATTAGCTGACTATTCATTTATTGTAATGTTTTCAGACTACTTTAGAACTCTCAAAGGAAGAATAATGGTCTAGTATAGTGCTTTAAGGTTTCCTTTATGGACAGAGTAAGGCATTTAATCTTGACAGACTCAATTGTTTTTGATTTCTTGCCATGGATATCCATCATAGAAATAGTAGTTGTGATTAATAGCATTTTGTTCACTAACCAAAAGCATTTATAATGTATACATGGATAATATTCTAAAATGGAGAATAACATTAAAGTTAAAAAACTTTAACAACTAAAAAATTAATATCTGTTGGGGAAAGAGGGCTATAAATGTACATTCAGGAGAGATGGAAAATAATTTATAGATTTTCATGAATTTTAAGGAGAAAGTGCATGAATACATCTTTAAGAGAGAAGATTCTCTTAAATAGATCATTGTAAATGGTTTATTAGTTAAAAAGATACCTTCCTAGTCCCCATATTTTTTATATCATCAGGCTAAAAACTATAAGATGGTGGTGGCAGCAATGTAGAGAGACTATACAGACTTAGAAAAACAGTGGCACCAAAAACTAGACTCTGTTTGAATTATTAAGGGAATCACATTTCCTCCCATATTAAGGTCCACAAGATCAAAGCAAAATTGAGAGGAGGAGAGATGTGCTAACACATAAGATTTTGGTAGCATTCCTAGATAACATAGGAAAACTTCTTAGATAAATCTATGTTGAAAAGGCTAAACAAAATTGAAATAAAACAGGACCTCGTTGTAGCTCAGTGGTATAGAGTATGTGCATCCAGTGCATGAGTGCATGAGGCTCTGGGTTCAATCTGTCTCTCTCTCACTCACACACACACACACACACACACACACAGAGAGAGAGAGAGAGAGAGAGAGAGAGAGAGAGAGAGAGAGAGAATATAGAACATTAATTAGTTGAAATTATGAATTCACTTATTTAATCAACAATTATTCTTTTGAGTTCCAATAATCAGAAAGGCACTGGATTTAGCAAATAAGACATGATCTCTGTTTCCGTAGAGGGCATTTGTTGAGGACAAACTATGGCCAGGTGTTTTATATATCTTACATCAACTCTACAAAGTGGATATTTCTTATCATTTCTCCTTTTATATTTGAGGAAGCTGAGCATCATAAGGGGGATAGATTGCTCAAAGTCATGCAAATAGTAAATGGCAGAGTTAGACCCTAAAATCACCTTGTTATCTCTAAAGTTCACTACATTATGGTGCCGGTATCTACGAGGAAACAGAAACACACACAATTATCTAGGATACAGATCAGAAACTGTAAAAAGTACTAAGAGAGGATCTGTGACCTGCCATAGGAGCACAGAGAAGGGAAGCTGTTCAATTGGTCTTTGGGTAACCTCTGGGAAGGCCTTTCAGAAGCTGGCACTAGAGCTAGGCCTTAGAGGTAAGTGGGGAAAAGCATTTTAGGCAGAGACACAGAGGTGTACCCCACCTGAAGGTTGAAGAAACAGTTTACAGTCCCACATGCTGGAGCGGTGTTTCTCACACTTGGTGTTATTTATACCATAGTTTTGATTTTAGAATTTTTGGCGACATACCTGAATAATACCATGGTTAACAATCATTACAAAACAGTGAGTCTATTATGAGGTTATTTCAAAGGCTTTAAAGTTAGGATACTGGGCTTTGAATCCAGGCTTTGCCATTTTCTAGTTATAGGAATTCTGGAAAACCATTCAAGCTTTGTTTGGTCAAATGGTAATAATCATGAGGGACAATTTTAATAAGCATATGAGGTGATACACATAAACTGCTTAGCTTAGTGTTTAGCACAAAATATACATACAACAAGTTGGGTTTTATTAATATCACATCACATATCTATAAAAACATTTGGTTATTGCAGGATTCCTTTTGCACCATGGTGTTTGCAATAATTTTGATCTGGAATATCCCCTTAGGGATCATGGGCTAAAGGCTTGGTCCCTAGCCCATGGTACTGTTGGAATGTGGTGGAAACTGTTTTTTGGGGGGCACCAGGGATTGAACCCAAGGGTGTTTAACCACTGAGTCACATCTCCCAGCCCTTTTTATTTTTTATTTTGAGACAGGTTTTTGCTAAATTGTTCAGGGCCTTGCTAAGATGCTGAGGCTGGCTTTGAACTTGTGATCCTTCTGCCTCAGCCTCCTAAGCCACTGGGAGTACAGGTGTGCACCATCATGCCTGGCACATGGTGGAAACTTTGAGAGGTGGGACCTCGTATGAGGTTTTAGGTCATTTGGGACATGTCCTTGAAGGGGACTGTGGGAGCCCAGTCTCTTCTTCTCTGTTTTTCACTCAGCTAAGAGGTAATCAGCTTCCTCCCCTAAGCACTCCTGCTTAGGGGAGGAAGGATATACTGCCTTGCCACAGGCCAAAAGCAATGGAACCAACCAACCATGAACTGAAACCTCCCAAACTGTGAGCCAGAATAAATATTTCCTCTTTTGAACTTGATTATCTCAGGTATTTGGTTATAGTAATGGAACACTGATTAATACAGCATACTGAACCATATTGTATCCTAAACTAGCATATTCTGCCATATTATATATTATTACTTTTTTTCTATATACTTAGAAAATATACAGTTTAGTTATAAGCTTTCTTTCCTGCTGTCTTAATGTTTTGTTAGACCCATTATCTTCTACTTTCAGCAAATAGAATCATTTTCTATATTGCATTGCAGGACCCCTTAGCTTAATGTATAATTTGGCATATATTGCGCATATTTAAGCATAGCAAAAATATATTTTACTTACTGATTGTTTTAGCAGCATATGGGTGGGCCAAACAGCATGCTTTGGACTAAATAGTTGAGAACAAACTATATGGAGTGTGTGTAGGGGGCATATGGGAAGAGGGAAAGAGACAGAAGTACATGATGGTCAGGTTGGAAAGGGACTAGAACATACTGAGCTAATGGAAAGCCATGTAGGGGAGGTGCAGAAATGTATCTAGAAAAGTAGCACACTGATGTTTGGATTTTAAGAAGATAATTAGTGCATCCTTGAGGATTGCAGTATAAATCTATTGACAAACTCTACATCCTTCAAAACTAAGTGACTTTGGGAAGGGTTCTTGATCCCTTATCTTTGCATTCCTGCATCTAGTATAGTATTTGCACATGGCAGGCTCTCAATAAATATCTGTGGAATTAACTGAGTAGTTAATAAATTAATGGAAGGACTCAGGTCAGGAAACCAGTTATAAGATTATTAATATAGCAGTCTATTACTCTGTGTTTGTGTGTGTGTGTGTGTGTGTCCGCACGCACACAGAACTTTTTATTTTTTACTTTTAGATGGCATTTCACTAAGTTGCTTAGGGCAATCTTTCTGCCTCAGCCTTCCAAGTCACTGGGATTATAGGTATGTGCAGCCACACTTGGGTGACCATAGTCCATTAGTATTATATTCACCTGTAACTCACATCATCTTGTTTGACAAAAGCTTATAAAAATTGATTAATAGTTTGAATTTAAGGTTTCATTTCTAATTCCTTCCTATGTGAAATGCAGTGAAAACTGAATTCAAAAGTACCAACGAAGTTGACTTTAAATTATTTTAAATTCACTGGAAATAGCCTTTTAAAAATCTCCATAGTTTTGGTATAAATATACAGTACACGATATCCTAAGAGAAGAAAATGCTGACTAATTATTGGTGATCACATAATTTGTTTGAAGGAATTACCAGGAGTCCACAGAGTGAATTGTGATCAGCAAACTGAAATGCATTGTTTTGTAATTTATGTAGAATTCCCGATAGAGCCTTCAGAGTTTGCCAATATATCCAGTGATTAAAGACATTAGGCCAAAACAAATCTTCCATCTTTGCTTTCATAGTTCAGGAACTATTACAGGAATAGAGTTTACCCATGAACCAAACAAAAATGTTGCTATAAATCACTGCATTAATTGCTGGGTTAGAGGCTCTGCCCGTATCATGAAAAGCAAAGAAGAAATGTTGCCAAAAAGAGACATGCTCAGTTGATTTGACTACACCAATGTGTTTAATTCCAGGCTTTAGTCAAAACAGGTCTAGGTGACAGACTCATTCCTGTGATCATTTGATTGTGACCTATTAAAAGAGTTAATTGTTTGACTTTTCCTGTTCTTAACAGTATTTCTATACTTAGAACATTGTATATGGTTTGGGGCTTTATTGAAAAGTGTGAATCTATCTTTCTTCATTTCTCTCTGATTCTGTTATTCCAGTATATCCTTGGGCTTTTGCAGAGACTCATAATCGCCAAAATTTAATAGAATTCTTAATTTTCAATTAAAATTCTAATAAGGCTTTTCTAAGCTGACACACCAGAAGTAGCAAATTTTATATTCATGTTTAAAAAGAATATCACCAGCACCAAAAATAAGTAAAAATGATAAAATAATCAGGAGTACTTAGAAATTTAAAGGAATCAGATGACATGAAATACTGGCTTACCTTTTGTAGATACTTTATTTTCTCCTCAGATTCCTGAATTCTTAGGGTGTTAGCAATAAAATCTGTGTCCTCTAGAGGGAATAAAGTCAAATTCAATCTGAAAAATTTTATCATGATTTTATAATAACAAATTGATATAAAAACTGGATAAAGGTTAAAAGAGTAGAAAACTACACACAGATATATGTCTTAATACTGTATGACCAGATTCATAAGTAACTGGAGACTGGATTAATTAGCTATTGCTGCAGGGAACCTCTAATCTGTTTAGATGATGAGTAAGCCTGAGTCAGGGCAAGAAAGAGTCTGTAGAAGATATTCCGGTTCTACATTTCTATTCAACCTGTTATAGAAATTTAGGTATTAAAAATAGTATGGTCCCTGATGCAGGGTCTTAGGTATGCAATTCAGAAAGTTATGCTAATATGTAAAATTGTACCTTTGTACTTATTACCCATTTTCTGAAGAACCTAGGCATTCCAGATGTTGAAAGGCATTAAAGTTGGTACTTACTCTTATTCTCAAAGGGAATATGTTGGAAGTGACTTTTCTCTAAAAAATATAAAAGGGAAGTAAAGAAAATCATTGAACAAAACCACAATGTAAAAAGGTGTCTGAATTTTCTATCCCCTTAAATACTGCATAATAACAGTTTTCACATCCTAGGCCTCATGTAAGGCTTACTGGTTAGTGAACTTGATACTAAAGTTGACTTTGCTTTCAGCTTAAACTAGTATCCTTAAAATCCTTTTAGCCAACATATACTATTTCCTCAGATTGTTCCATATTGCTTGTCAAACAGATGCCATAATTTAAGGGACATTTAACATGTATTGTTAGATGTAATAATGATACCAGCGATCCTTTTAGGGTGGAAGGATCTCTGGCAAGGTTCACGAACTACTTATACATGTGTTATATGTATATGCCTTTTACTCGTTTTGTATCTTTCAGACTGAAATGATTTTTATTTTAGCATTAGGTTGGGAAGTTTCTCCTGGAAGGGGATCTAGTGTCTTCTAGGTAAGTTATGGTACGGGAGGAATTACCTCTGAGAGGCGGCTACTTTACTCACCAGCCACAGAGTTCTTAGTGGGCCGCGCCACCGGCAGACGCTGACTGCTTCCTCTGCTCAGCACCAGCTGAGATTCGTTAGTGGGATACATGGACGCCCCGAGCCAAAACTGTTTAGCTAAGTTGGCATCCTGTTCCGAGCAGCCAGCGAACACCAGTAACCCCGGAGAACAAATTTCGTGAGACTCCTTTCCGCTACTAGAGCTGCTGCAGGGCCCTGTTTCCATGGCAACTCAGGACGCTTCTCCAAGCTCCCTCACCCCTCCCTCCGGACCCGGCAAGTTGTTACCAGCCGGCGGCGGAAGCTCTGTTTCTTCCGTAGGTGTTGGGGTCCAGCGCGAGCTCCTGGCCTATTTGAAGCCCAATTCTATGGTGATCGCAGGCTTCGGGACCAGCCGAGCCTTGGAGTCTAGATGCGAGTCACAACATCAACTTTTGGATGTGTCCTGTCAGAGTCAGTGGGGGAGCACTTTAGCCTTAACAAAAGCTTCGGGCAGCTTTCCACCCTTCTCCCCCTCCCTACCAAAAGAGATCTGAATAAACTTTAAATTATTTGATTCCATCACACCAATCTCCCCTCCAAGACCAGACTGCAGAGGTTTAGCACCTGCTACTGCAGAAGTTCTGAGACCTGCGTTGGAGAATTCAATAGGATAGCTAGTAGCTAACATTTTAGCTAGAGGCCTGGACTGGGCAGATAGGTAAATGATTACTTAAAAGAAGGGATATATCTAATGAGTGGGCCTAGTTCTTTCATGAAAAATAATGAATTTTTTTGTTAATATATCCTTATGAAAGTATCAACGAGTGCGAATAGCTTTTCCGGGAAATTTTGTTAATCTAGGAACAATTTAACCATTTCAGCAGTAGAAAAATTGTGATTACTATGGCAGGAACTGAGATGGACATCATAAAGCCAACTGAGGAAAGGAAATGGACAAATGATTATCCACAATTTATATCTTTAAGACACTTTATTTTTTTCAAAATATTGCTAACAATATAGTCTCATAGGTCAAAGATCAATAGCCACAAGTCAATAACAGATCAACCAGTTGAAGGAAAAAAATAATCTAAAATAATTTTGGTTAAGAGCCTGAAGGAATATTAAAAAATACACATACATACATATTACATATATTGTATATTTAGCAACTAAATGCTATTTTTCTTGGTTGAGCAACCGGTAAGTAGGCAATGGATAACATCAGCCATTCCAATAGACCTCTCCTCCAAACACATTGATGGTGCACAGGCAGCTCATTTGGATGAATCCCAATCTTTTTACCTGGCCGTGTGGTTAGTGATTGGTACTATTAGCAATCAGCTAACTACACTGCCTAGTAACTAGACTCACAGAAAAATAACTTCAGTCTTAAGTTGGTGCCTCCATTTGTTGTGATAGGCAAATCATTGGTTACATCGGAGTTCACTTAGTTGCTGGCTTGCTGAATACGTTACTAATGGAAAATAGTAATGAACCATAGCATACAGCCGTAACTGTTACATGGGGGAGGGGTTCTCCAAACAGTTTAAATGTCTTTTCTTAAAGCCTTTAAACTCCGCGCATTTCTTCCTTGCACGAGACCGTACCATCCTGGTTGGACTCCCTAGAGACAGCTAACGATTTAACTATCTGGAGAGCAGCCAGCCCCTTCCGTGGGTTTACTCGCACTTTGGCAACTTGCTCCCGGACAAACGCTGACGCATCACACTTCCAAGCGCTGCTGACTCCTCTCCAGACTCCGCGGGGCAGCGGGTGATGCTGTGCCTTGTTTTGATGGCAGTGGAATTAGTGATTGTAAGCACCATAGTACAATCAGCTAATTACACTGCCTACAAACCGAGCACCGGGCGCCCGCCGCTGCAGCTCCCGGATGGTCCGCAGTGCCGATGTGGAGTTTCCGAGCGGGCTGGCGGGCCGCGGGGACCCGGCCCCCGCCACCCCCCACTACACCTGGGCCGACACCTGACAGGGACTGGGGGCGAGGCCCTGAGCCAGGGTCCTCCGCGGACGCCTCCAGGGTTGACCGGCCCGCACCAATGCGGTGGTCCCAGCCGGACTGGCAGCGCCCATCGCGGGTTGTCAGGCCTGGGAGCAGCCCGGCCCAAGGGTCCTGCATCCCCAGGGCCGCGCCCCCGACCCCAGGTGACCCGCGGGAACGCCAGGTTCCCCCTCCCCGCGGTCTCCCGCACCTCCCAGGGCCTTCCTGCTCAGCTTCCCTTCCCCTTGGCTTCTCCGGGCCGGTCTCCCATTTCTCTCACGCCGGGTCTAGCCCGCATCAGAAAACTTCTCTTCAGTTCCCAGCCCAGACCCTAGAGCCGGCTCCTAGCCCCTTGCTCCCCGCAGCGCCGAGCCGCCAAGTGACCGCGGCGGTGGCTGTGGCGGGCCAACCGCCCTTGGAATCCCGCGGGCAGAGGGGGCGGGGCGGGCGCGAGGTGTGGGGAGGAGTGGGGGAGGGGAGGAGGCTGAGAGTTGGGGCTGTGGGCGGCCCCTATGGGGGCCTCGGGGAGATGGAGGAGGTGGAAGCACAGATTCTTGATGAGTTTCCCTTCCTGGTGTAGCTGTAAGGGCAAAGAGCTCCTTCTTTCCCCGTTCCCCCCAAAGTTCCACAAGCCCACCCAGTTTTCATGCCCATTACGATCTGAGAAAACAGCTTCCCAGGTACCTCAGAGTGTAGGCTTGAGTTTTCCAAACGGAGGTAGGCCTGAGTGTCCCCTGACAAGCAGGAGAATTATGTTTGAGGTGGCCATCTGCACCCTTGCTTAACTCTGGGGATTTGGGCTGTATTCTTAGAGGGCCATACAGTGAAGTGAGGGCTCCATTTTCTAGTCAATAGCTACCCAGCCAGCTCCTTAGATCAAAGTGTGGTCCTTTTGGGATCAAAGCCTAAGTTTTGTACTCCTCAAGGTCAGCCTCAGGCAGAACTACTAGCACATACTTGTTTAAATACTTGTTACATGTTCAGCATTTGTTTTACCCTCCACCTTAGGCTAGGTGGTGACACAAAGTGAACACACATTATTTGTCATTCAAGACAGTATACAATAAATTACTAAACTGGATAGACGTTACTAATAGAAACAGAAAGGGAGGCACCAAGAGAACTGTAATGAGAATGTTCATGGAGGAGGTCAGATTTGAGTAGGTCCTGGGAGCAAGAGTAAATTTGGGTATTCAGGGTGAAGTCTGCAGAGGCCAGAGAAACTGTCTAGTGACAGTTTTGTTTTCCTGTTCTTGCAGTTTCACATCTAATGGTGTGGATGTGTTTGAGCGTGGGATAGGTCAGGAAAGGGGACAGTTAGAGAGGATTTCTGGGTGGTATCTACTAATAATTTTTTCCTTTAGATGTTTCCCCCCTTTTTTCCTTTAATGAGTGAGAAGGGAGAGGAAAAAAAATATTGTGATTAGACACATGGTAGAACTCGATTGGAAGTAGTCCCACTAGAATGTGGTTGCACGCAGTATAGAGCAATCATTGTTGACCCTGAAGGCTTAATTCTTAATTATTTTCCACAAAGGAAATTTCTAGCCAGCTGTAGATCGATTCCTAAAACCAGCAAATGGGCTCATAGATGCCACTAGTAACACGAATAGGGACAGGCAATCTAGACTATTAGACACAAATTCCAAACTAAAACTATTAAAACAAGAACTTCCCAAGGATGAGTTTGAGAAGGTTATAACATTATCTTTGACTATTAAAGACACCTTTTTTTTTTTTTTGCCAAAAGCATGCTTTGTTTTGTGAAGAGTAAGAAATCAAAGTGAAGTAGAAAATGTTAATTGTAAAAATTATAAAATTAAATTGTAAAAGATCACTTGCAGATGATTTTTGTATTCATTCATCCCATATTTGGGAGATGCACAATGTTGTAGCACACATTAAACAAATCACTTCATACTTATTTAAAATATATACATAAATGAAAGTAGGAATGAAACAGCCCTCATTCCATTAACAATATGCATACCTAAAACTTTCGTGAGAATAGTCATAGAAACAGTTCTGTTTCTTCAAATTATTAGTCGTTTTTACATAATACTATATGTAATGTTTCTTCCTGATTTATTTTTAGTTTAAATTATTAGTTGCATTTTAAGGAATCTTACCTGAGCTGGATTGTCGTCATCCAAGGTGATGATTGTGTTAGATGCCTTGAAAATTAGAAACTTTTCTTCAAAGATAATCAATAAAGAAAATTTATGTAAAAGTCATCAAGATCCATTGTGTACTAAATTTTTTAAAATGTACTTATTTTGTGTGTAGTATAATTAAAAAAGTGAAATACATCAAAAAATGTGTGTGGCCTAGTTTTGTTTGAAGAAAAGAATGCTTGTTCATAGGGTTGCTGTTGACTTGGCCTGCAGTTACTAAAGAAACTCCAAGGATCTTGTCGCCTTTATGGTTCATGTCTAGGCATGCCTGGAGACCAGGGAGACCCATGATTTAATCTAAGTAAGAATGTTTGTGGTGTTTAAAATGCCCAAACAGAAGATTGCATTTGTTTTAGACAGCACCAGGAAGGCACCTTTTAGGGGAGTTGTTTACTGTTTTAATTTCTATGCTTTTGGTGATCAAGGAGATGGGGAAGGAACTCTAAGGAGTGGAGGTGAAGTTGGTGATTAGAAAGAAACTAAGAAGAATATTGAAAACAAACACCGTCTACATTAGCTTTGGCAAGTTTATATTGGTTTAATTTACCACTCCTAGATAAAAGACTAGAGTGATAGGAATTGGGAGTTACAAAAGGTGGAGACAGCCTAGCCCTCCCTTCAACAAATGCAAACACACAATCTGAACATTTTGCTCTCTTCCAAAGCTTTTGAAGGATGTTGTTAAGGAAGAAAGAAATGAAGAATAAGACTGATTAGAAATTATTGGATTTTAGCAGTTTCCTTTTAAACCTGTGTTTTGAATGCATGTTTTTTCTTAGGAAATATAAAATCATGTTTTGGTTTTTATAAAGATTATCAATGTCAAATTACCTTATTAACATTGATGATATACTTAGGAACTGAGTTGAGATTTTGAAACAAGACCAAATTGAAGTCAATTTGGTGCCTTTGAAGAACTGAAAATCAATGAATCTGTTTCATTCAAGCTAAAATAAACTGCCAGCAGTTTTTGTAATTCCATATTTTTGATTCCATTTCCTTATACTCTCAGTTGTAAGAGTACACTAGATTCTTAATTAGCTTCTTATTTATATTTATTGATTAAATGCTTTTGTTTTCAGTATGAGAGTGCTAGTTTAGCTTTTAGGTAAGTAAATCAGAAACAATCTAACAGAATGGGCTTCATAATTTAAGTTGCTGGAGCAAACATCTTGTGTATTTACTATCTTTATAGAACATAGTTTCCAGGGATTTATGGTCTAGCTGGAGAGATGTACAATTTGTATATATAGATAATTAAGATGGTTAAATTATGTTAATCATATTAACACAACATATGATATTAATATATAAATTAATATTCACATAATTTCTACTATTAATATAATGTTTATTTATATGCTATAGTTATGTCACATATAAATATATTACATATCAAAATGGTCAGATGAATAAGTGCTTCAGGAATACTGAATGCTAGTGTAAGCTTTATTATTGCCAGTATTTAGGAAAAAGAATATGGAAACTTGTAAAGGTTGGAACAGAGAAGGCTTCATGGAAAGGTGGGATTGAACTGAGATTAGAAGGGAAAGTAGACATAGGTGAAGAGGGAAAGTTCTTGGCAGCAGGAGCAGTTTGTGAAGGAAAAACACAAGCAAATTCATGGAGATGGTAATGCATATGGGCAGTGGGGCAGCAATGAATGGGTCTCCATTGGGAAATGAGATAGAGAGGCAGGTGAGTAGATCAAAGAGGACTCTATTAGTACAGTGAGTTTCACTTTCTTTCTTCTGACCCAAGAGCCCCTGATGTGTATTGTGTGTTCCTTCCTCATCTGGAGATTAAAAGAGAATTGATTAGAAGAGGGAGAGACAGAGAAGATGGAAAGTCCATTTAGTAAATTATTTTAATAAATCTAGGTATGAAGTGATGTAGGAAATATGGATAAGTGGAAGATACTTTATGAAGGAAAATTTATAGGATTTGGTGACTGGTTTAAAGTGAAGAAAGAATGGGATTAACTTCCAGCTTTTGAGAACAAGTAGAGGGGGTCAAGAGGGGAAAATATAGTGAGAGGATAACTGTGATGAGTTTCAGTCTAGGCATGTCTGGCTTTAGGTAGTGGAAGAACATTGTGGTGAAGTCAGATATTTGAAACTGAAATTCTGGAAAGACACAAGAACTGAAAAGAGAGATTTAGCAGTTTTCTGAAAATGTGATAGTTAGCCATGAGGATGAAGGTACCAAGGAAGGTTCATTGACTTTCTTCATTGACCCTCCAGCATCTGCTATGGTTCACCTACAATGGACAGAGTAGATGATTGATAATCATGCATTATTCTCAACTGGTGGAAAGAAGAGGGCTCAGGAGCAACTTCAAGAGGGGTCCTTCTACTCAGGGGCTGGCAGGAGGAAGTATATTTTGAGAGGAGTTAGACCAAAGAGAGAAGCAAAAGAATGGAGTCTCATAAAAGCCACAGTGTTTTAGACAAGGTCAGATATACACATGAAATCAAGGGAAATGGCTGCTTGGGTACCATCACATCATGAGGTTTGGTCAATGGAACTAGCCACAGGCAGCAGATGATTAGATTTGCTCTATAAGAATGTTTTGTTTACGGCTTGATTCATTGAGTCTGTGAAGGATCAATGATCTCTAGGCTATAAATAGATTAACTTCCCTGGTAACTGTTTGGCCTCTGTCACCTCTCCAAAAAACTCGGGTGGATTTTCCAGCTTTGTAAAAGTAATTTCAGTGCAGCTCGTTAGTAGTCTTATGCAATGGTTTGAAGAAAGTTTTTTTCTTCTTAAGAGCTCTAGGGTGTTTTCTTGAACTCTATGAAGCCCAAAGAAGGAATCTAACTATCTTGTGAAATTTATTTATTTATAATAGTGATAATACTTTATGCCCTTCTCTTTAGCATCCCTCCCTATGTCCCCTTATTCTTGTTTTTATTTCTACTATCCTTCTTTGGCACCTATGCTTTCTTTTCTAATGGAACTTCCATATAATATTTTTGAATTACATAACCCATAACTCATTCATTATCATCATTTTCCTTACACCCATAGAATATTATCTCAAAGATTTAATAATGCCTACATTTAGTAGAGTTCATATTGTCCTTTCCTTTCTTAGTTCATCTGTTACCTGTTTATCTACCTCTTGGATAGAAAACTTCCAGGGTGCCTTTAGCTCATGCTCATCCTCTTCTTTAACCACTTTTGAACTTAGTATGTTCACCCTACAATTTTAGCTGCCACTAGTCAAAATATTCTCTTATATTCTAATTGTATTTTGAATGCATCACTTAAATATAAGTATGGAGTGCTGATATATAGATACATTTACTTTATTTGTGAGTGTGGTGTATATAGGTATTTTTTTTTTTTAAAGAGAGAGTGAGAGAGATAGAGGTAGAGAGAGAGAGAATTTTTTAATATTTATTTTTTAGTATTTGGCGGACACAACATCTTTGTTTGTATGTGGTGCTGAGGATCGAACCCGGGCCGCACGCATGCCAGGCGAGCGCGCTACCGCTTGAGCCACATCCCCAGCCCAGGTATTTTTCTTATACTCTGAATTATTTGTAGTGAGTTATCTTGGTTTCTAACTTGAAAATTTGTTTGAATAGCTATTCTAACTTCCTTTAAATATAGCTTGAACATAATGGGACTAAATTTATGTGTGGGTTATAGAATCAATTCACTTATTGTATAAAATGGTGCTACTTATTGCTATTTAAAAAAAATACACTTTCCCTGACAGAAGTAGAGTGTTGCCAAAACATCTACAGACCCCTACCCCCACCCTTAGCAATGACATGCATTTGCAAATGGATATGTCATCCTAGGAATATAACTTGTAGTTTATGGAAGGCATGCTGAAGAAATCAAATAGGGCTAAGAATAAGATTGGTTATTAAGTCCAGAAAATATGGTCAATTTAGATTATAGCTCAAATTAATTTGCCTGTTTTAAATTGTTATAACCATACATATTTTCATCTTACAGATGAAGCTGAAGCTTAGCTAAAACCAAGAAGATAATAGAACTAGATTTTCACATTTTACTTTTTTTTAATTGATAAACCTTAGCCATTAAGTTTTATTACTCCATTTTAAAAAGAAGAAATGCAGTTATGGAACCTATTACTTTGTACAAGGTAATTTTCATGCTTTGTAGCATTTGATTTTGTTACAGGTATAATAAGAAGATAAAATACATCTATGATGTTTTCCTTCTTTCTGTTCATCCTCATTTAAAGTGGCTAGAGGCCTCATTTTCCCTGTTTTCTGTGGTGCCTCAGCCAGCTTAATCAGTGTCTTCATGTGAACCTCTACAGGTAGAACACCATCCTTTTGTTCTACTACGGTTAACTCATCTGAAATTTTCAAAAAGAAATCTTTGGCCAAGCATGGTAGTGCACGCTTGTATCAGCTACTCAGGAGGCTGAGGCAGGAGTATGGCAAGTTGGAGGTCAGCTTAGGCAACTTAGCAAAATCCTGTCTCAAAACTTAAAAAAAGAGCTGGGGATATAGCTCAGTGAGTGGTAGAATGTCCTGGGTTTACTTCCCAGTACTGGAAAAAAAAAATCCTGGAATGATACTATTTTAAGCAAAGGAATAAATGTCATATAATGGAAATTTTAGACATTACACAGGAACAGTGAAAGTTTCTTTTTTTTCCTTTGGTCATTCAAATTTTGATATTGGCTTAGACTGACCCAGGTTGGGTCTTTTGATAAATTCTAATATCCTTTCAATGGACATTACTACCTGGGTGTTTAATTGCCATCGAAAATTCAGGGTTCTTCAATCTTAAATAATCGTCACTCATTTTATATTGGCTCTTCCACTAAACTCATCAATTATTTCAAACATAAGATTATTCTCTTGGTTACTAATGCTTGAAGTAATTTTTGAGTATGTGTATGTGTGTCAGTCTGCATTTCATTGCTGTAACCAAAATACCTGATACAAACAACTTAAAGAAGGAAAGTTTTTCGGGCTGGGGCTGTAGTGCAGTGGCAAAGTACCTCCATCGCACATATGAGGTACTGGGTTTGATCCTTAGCACCACATAAAAATAAATAAATAAAGATATGTGTCCACCTGCAACTAATATATATATATATATATATATATATATATATATACACACACACATACACATATTAAAAAAATATATATATATATAAAAGAAAAAGGAAAGCTATGTTTTGGCTCACAATTTCAGAGCTTTCAATCCATGGCTGGCAAGGCTTCATTACTTTGGGCTTAAACTGAGGCAGAACAACATGTAAGAAGGGTATGGCAGAGTAAAGCTGTTCACCTCCTGGCGGTCAGGAAGTACAGAGTG